TCTTGTCTTGTTGTATGGGGCCAGTTCTTAAAAGCAGCACGGCCAGTGACTGCAACACAAACAACGTAAACCGACATCTAATGGCATGTTGTACATCATGCACTGTTCCACTGTTTACCAAAGAAATGCAGAAAGTGAATCATGGGAATTTCCCAGTGCGTTTGTCTGAATAATTCCTATAAACATCAATGCATGAATGAAATAATGAATCCAGGATTTAAATAGTGTCCATTGATTTTTTTTTTATATATATATATATATATAATATCACAATGCTGTTCAAAGATTCCTGGTTTTGCTGCCCTTTACGTTTCCTTTTGCAACACCCACAATGCACATAGAAACAGGCTATGGCAGTGGAGCATGACAGCAGTGTCACCTGTTAGCATGAATCTCAATGAGCTTTTTAATTATTCTGCATTTCTGTGGCTGACAGCTAATTAGGGGAAGGAGGGTCTGAAATAACCTGATTCAACATGCACCCTCAAACGGAGGGGGAGGGAGGGGGCCCAGTTTTCACCGATCAGTCCTGGCTTATTGAACTACTGCAGCATTGAAGGGATTTTGACAGCTGTGGAAAGAATGTGTTTCTCCATGTTTGCTATTACACTGTTTACAGTGCATGTGTGTATGTGTGTGAGTGAGAGTGCACAACAGGTCTGCATATTTGACTGTAATCTCAGCTTGTCCAATCCCATTAAAGCAGCACTAAGAGGACAACTCGTTTTTAACACCGGGCTTTTTTTGTTTGTTTTCTTTTTTCATGAAATTAAAGCAAATGCTTGCAACAAGTTCATTCTATCCCCTCGGCTTGGCAATTCCAGGCATCCCTAATGGGGGCTGATAGAATCAGTGCCTGGACAATCAGCAGGGTGTTCCCTGCCTCCACCACAACCTCTCTTGGCCTCCTCTAGCACAACCTCATGAAAACAAGAGATATAAGTGCCCCAGCTATTATCTGAGAGGAGAGAGGAGGTAGGGAGTACGGAGAGGATTTGATTCGTTAAAAAGTTAAGTTACAATTGAGAATCAATCTAGTCAGCTACAGTAGTGCAATGTGGATGTAACAGACTTAGTTCTGCTTGTCAGCTCTTTAAACAAGAACTGAATGAGAGAAACAACCAAGTAACATTTATATTAAAGTATGCAATCTTATACTATTTCTGAATTGGCTGTGGAAGATTACGTTTTGGAGAGATTTGAGTTTTCCTCCATGCCTACTGGTGAGAAATTGTTTTTGAGAAGCGCTGGAGGATGAGCTTATGTGCGTGTGTGCATGTGGATGGCATCGATTTGTGTGTGTGCAGACAGTGAACCCCATCTCTGCTAAGAACATGAGAGAAAAATATTTTGACAGATTTAGCTCAAGGCCTAGGAGGGGTACTTTAGATGTCACCACAACTCTTTTCACTGGAGGGAGAAAAGCGAGGGGAGGTTTATCATTGCTAAAACAGGGAGATGGAGGAGAATACGACCGTCTGCCTGTATTTCTTCCTGCTTGCATTCCAGCATTTGTGTATTGCACCACGCCTGCATCCTATCCCTCTGCTCATCTGTATCTTGTGTCTTTCTATCCTCTATGTGCATCTATTAGAATTTGATCTACTGTTCTGGCAAAATTTTTGTGTTCTTAAACATTTATTACTTATTCTCCTTAAAATTAACTCATTTATGCTGAAGATCAACAAAATTTTAATTCTTACTTCCTCATTAGTTTACATCCAAGAGAAGTCGATTTAAAAAAAAAAGTTCGACATGGGAAGCTAGTAGTTGCTGAGTTGCCATCAGAAGCCAGAAGGGGGCAGTATCAGGAAAAGGAGACGGTCTGGCATTGTCTGGGGAAGTTTTGTGCAGTTTTGTTTTGCTGCAGTGCTCTCTCCTGCCTCCCTGGAGGGTACTAGGAGCTTCTTAACAGACACTTCATCAATATTCAGCCCTTTCACTGAATCCTTTTGTTCCATTTTAATCTTTGTCTCTTTGTACATCCTTCTCTCTCTATACTCTGTGATTTAAAAAAAAAAAAAAAAACTGTTGGACTCAATTTACATTCTTTCAGTTAAAAAATAGGAAAAACTTTTCATATAGACAGAAAGCGCTAACACAATATGCACACACAGCAGGTAACATTTCACAGTCCCCAGAAACACCATTTCTGCAATCTCCAGCTCATCAAGCTGTGATAATTTCATAGGTGCAACTCCAACAAAAAGTTAAAACTCTTTCACTTCCTGAAGCACTTTATTCTCACTCTGCAGGTGGTCCGACACCAGTGGTTTGAGCCCATTTGTTTATTTAGCTACTGTGGGCATCCCACTTTGTTTTTGTAGAGACTGAACACTACATTTGAATCTTTTGTATGCTTAAGATAGCTGTGGAATTAAAATGGAGGGAATAAAAGGAATCATATTTTGTATGTTTAAAAGCAACAGTCTGTGTTTTAACACATTAGCGTTGACGCTTTGAGTTGACAAAGGCTGAATGTTTACAGGAGGTTGGAGGATTGCTGATGAGTGACTGAGCACTGAGTGCTCATTGCCTAACATCTATTGTTTACAGTTCGCCTTCAGGACATTATCTCCCCATTCATTATTTATTAATGGAAAAATGCTCTGGTAATTGCTAATTAGTGTAGCTTTAAAGTGATGACTCATGGAATAATTTTTTGCTTCTCTAATTGTCTGTTGATCTATTGAATTAAACATGGCAGAAAGCACAGTGGATTGGAATTGGAGCAGGCTGACAGAAAAAGGAGTGCTCTATGTGTTTGATAGAGAGGAAGACACTGTGCTTATAAGGTGTTTTGTGTGCACAGGTGTGGGAGTGTGCATGTGTTAGCTTATTTGATGCATATAAATGTTATTCAGCGTGAAATGAAGCGACAAAATAGAATGTAAACTGCAACAGATCATAGCGTGTTGAAGCTAAATCCAAGACATGCATACACAGAAACATCAGACTCCATTCCAACATTTAAAGTAAATGCGTTTCAGACTGGCACTGGTCCATCTGGACACCAGACCAGCCTTCTGCAGGAACTGATCTACAACCAACAGCCTGTTAAAGTAAATTGCGATGGAAACAGAGACTAAATCAGAGAGCAAAAGAAAGAGAAGACAGAGACAATACAAAAAACACACTCACAGTACTCACGGTGACTCGGAAAGGTGTGGCAGTGGTGCAGGTAGCCTCCATGGTGGGTGCGTTCTTGTCTGAGGAGCTGCCTGGCATGCTGCGTCGGCGTCCTGTCCTCTCTGGAGGGGACTCTGCCAACAGAGAGAGACCTTAATGTCAAACTGGTCTTTAAATTGTTAAAAAAAAATTTTTAAAGAATAGTTGGACAGAAAGATCAATGCCGCTCATTTTGCTGTATGTTAACTAGCCAAAGCCATAAGACAAATAGCCAGGCATAAACACCTGCTGGCAAGGGGGTAACAGCCTTCCTGGCTCTCTCCAAAGTGAAAAGTGTATCTTGTTTATTCAATCAGTGCTGGAGGTGTAGGTGTATTTTTGAGCTTTGGACAGAGCCTGGCTTGGCGTTTCCCCTCGCTTTCAGTCTTAATGCTAAGCTCAGCTAAGGAGATGCCAGATCTAACTTCATATTAAAGGAGAGCAAAATAAACAAAACTAACTATTTAGCGCATGAGAGTAATGCACACCGTGTAGTTGTCAGTGCATTATCACTAATAAAATTCCCACTTAACTTGACCTGTCTGACTCTAAAATGTCAGAAGAATCTGGAGCACCCAAAGGAAATTCACAAAAATACACGAGAACAAGAAACACAAACATCTTGAGCTTCAAAACTGAATCAAAGGTAGAGCTTTAACACTGGTATAAAAGTGGAAATAACATTAATCAGACATCTGTTTGTACACTTCAAATCAAAGAAAAGGTCCATGAGAACACACTGAAGGAAAAAAAAGTTTGTGGACCAACTTTTCTGTGTATTTTATATGTGATATGATTTTAAAAAGTGAACACTGTACTGTAGTCTGGTACCTGCTCCTTCAGCCCATTCAGACAGTAAAAGACTGCTGCTTTTGATTCCTGATTCCCAACTTATCCATATTTACTGATCTGAATATATTTACTGTATTTCTTATCTTTTTATCTTGTGTGTGTTTGTCTAATCCTTTTTTGAACCTGGAGACAGTGCACCACAGTTTCAGGCCCATTTCAAAAAGCTCGGGAGCCAAACACCGTGCAGGAGTGCGGAAGCAGCAAATACGGACATGTCCAACAGGAATGTGACTGATGCTGAGAGTACAAGTCTCCACAGATTTCAGATAGCCATGACTGCTAACTGTTGCAGTAGCTCACAGCTACAGGACAGTCTATCAGCATGTGAGTTGGTTGGAAAATTGTTTGTACATGGGTTGCAAATTAGACATTTTTTCTCATTTGAGCCGATGTTTAAACATAATCAAAGTCCCTGCTAGGTAAAAAAAAAATCTGTTTATACACTGAGAAGTACATTTAAAACAGGAAATGTGTATAACTAGGTCTAGGTCAGATATATTAAAACAATATTAGCCCCTTCTACAGGCCTATGGCAACCTCATTGGTTCATGGTGTCACTTAGGCCATGTTAGATCATTTAAATGAGATCTCTAATTGTCTGCAACATTGGATACTAATGGAATTATCGCAGTGCAGCAGTGTGACTCTAATAAGGATGAAACTGCATTATGAAGCAAATCCTCCTTCTTACATGCACACACACCCACAAGTACATCTGTCTTTGTAACAATGCATTCCCCAGACCCTTACCCTAACTTTAAGCCTCACCCTTCCCCTAAGCCTAACCTGAACCCTCAAAAAGGTGTTTCACAAGGTGAAGACCGGCCAAAATGTCACTTTCCAAAAATGTCCTCACTCTGTAGCACAAAATACTTTTTGGTCCTCACTATATAACAACAAGTACAAGAACACACACACACAGACACACACACACTTCACTAGATGTATTAGGAGTGTTCACAATCTTTTTGGGAACTGCCTTTATTTGGTTAATTTCTGGATTCTTAGTACATAGAGTTATCAAACCTTGATTAATGATTTGTGCTAGTAAACTTCATTAACATGCAGATGCGCAGATAAAAAAAAAAAAAGATGTGTAACCAGTGAACACTTGGTACAATCTTTATAAAGGCTGTCTGAAACACACCTTTCAGAATTTGTGGCTGTGGTAAAATTGCTTTCATATTTTAGTTGCAAATTGAATTTTCACACTGGAATATGCAAGACAAGAATTTGAACATTCTAGGACAAATATTGAGCCTCAGTACAGCAAACCTATAAACTGTAGTGATCCAATATTGCACTGACATTACCAAAACTTGGATGCACCAAATATTGTGCAGAAATCATTGGTGCCCAATATGATATTTGCATATGGGCATCTCTAATAAGCTACATACACAGCAACACACACTTGAAAGATGTTGTGTCTATCAGCGCTGTCCTCTATTAGCTTGTCAAATTGAGTTGTGCTAAATTAGCTGTCTGCTGTTTAACAGGCTGCTAGTCTGATTTAGTGCAGACTGTAATTGAAGCCTGGATGAAGGAACAGAACCAAGCTCTGTGTGAAGCACTGGTGTGCACTCCAACATAAACATAACCGCAGTCTGCAGTCAGACAAACACAACATGCTATGACATGAAATAAACATCTTCCGCTGCAAAGCTCTGTATTTGAAAACCAGACCCACCTGGACCCATTGCTTTATGAAGGTAAGAAGGCTTTGACTTAGTCTATGTGTCACAGAATCCTGTTAAGCTTTTCTTGGTTTTGGTATTTTCCAATTTAGTTAGAGAAAAGACACCTGCAAGTCTTATCAGTGCCAAGTTACAAGTCTTCAGAGGTTAAATTTCAAGTCAAGCCTCATGAAAATGTAAGAATTTATGGTCCCTGAATGCTGACCTTTAAAATGTAAACATTTAGCCTGAATATGTACAGTGAGGTACAGTATGTGGCCAAGCAAGGCAGACTTTTTTCATTTGTGTATTTTTCTAAATTCTAGAATTTGACCAGTCAAGACATTTTTTAATGCACGTAATAAAGTGTGAAGTCCTCATTTCTGAGAGTTACAGTAAGACCAAGCTCTGTCTACAGCTCTGTCTTTAAGACCATAAGGCTTTGAATATTTTTTCAGTTGTAGTAGAGACAATAGGCTGTTTCTATGCACCACAATGACTGGGATCAACACCGCTTAGCAATATATGACTGGAATTGGGAACACACTGAGGATTTTTGTTCCACCATCTGACTCATTCATCTGAGTAGCTTCACTTGTCTGACTGAGTGGCACGTCTGGATAAAATGTTACAAAGGGATATCTACAAATACTGAAAAGCTGATGTCAGGAAATCAAGGCCGTGGTGAAGTGGGCACACAAGAACCTGCTCAATTATTGTGGTACAATATTTAGTCAAAACCGGTGTAAATAATACAGCATTTCATATACAAAAATAAAAAAGGACCTGTCTCACATCCTTTTTTAACAAACACACATGGTGACATTGAACTATCTACTGCTAAGACAAGAAGTCAGTCCTGTTAAATCTGAAAACTCATTCATGAGGAAACAGCATTGATACAGACATGAATTTTGACTGAATTAAGTCAGGAGTGTGAATTTCAGCTTCTTTCACCTTCACCAGATTTACCCTTTAGCCTGTTTAATCTTCCTAATGGAAATCTCCCTGCTTGTACACAGCTGGCTGCTACGAGGGCTCAGAGAAAAGCTCACGGACGCAAAAGCACACATCATTTCATTGTGAACTAATTGATGCGTGAAATTGCCGTGCATGCTTCCACATGTGTTCACCATCTGCATGTAATGTATCTCTACAAAGGCATGGAAAATTTCCTCTTGCTGTAACTGTGTGGCTGACTCTAACCCTTTAACTGACAGCAAGCTGTGAACACACACTCACAGTCAATAAAACCAGAATAAAAATTCTACCCTAAATCCTGAGGTAAAGCACCAGAGAGCTGTCTGTACTGCATGTGGTGTCTGGTCTCAAATTGGTAAGAGTTCCTATTTAAAGGTGGTTGTCTACCGGTTGTTGGCTATGATCACTTTTCCTTTCTGCAGGTGTTTGGGCTCTATCTGTAAGGTCAGAGGGCCCACAGACAACAGCTGCTATGTCCAAAGGTGACAGATCTTTACACTATCAAGCCTGGAGGCCTTAAGGCTGTCTATTGTATTACTCTGACCTTCTTTCCAAACAATTTCTTGTATACATGTTCTTTTTTCCCTTATCCTCCACCTTTTTTGTCCTTATTATTATCCCTTGTTCTACGTTCTTCCCTCTGGGTGCTCTCTCATTTAATGTTCTCTTTATACCTTTCTTACTTTGCTTCCTGTGTCATCACATCTTCATCTTCTACATCAAATCAAATTGTCATCTCTAGTTGCCTCTTCATTGCATCTCTTTTGCTTTTATTCTCTAACTGCACACATTCCCTAAAATCTCATACCACCAGCTCTCCATCCTCCATCACCATATATTCACAAATAGTCATCTCTCCATCTTGATGCTACATTTATGGGTCCCTGGAGATACCAGGTGAGGGCCCTGGGGCACCTAAAGCAACTAACTGTAGACTAATGTAGAATGACTTGCATTTTGTGTGCGCACAGTAGTGGATTTTGGTCCTGGCCTGGCCAACAGAAACAGGAGCAGTGCAGCCTGGGAGGGAAGTTTTACCTTTGTGAATATTAAATAAACAGGAACAACTGGCCAACCAGTGATGTTTTAGGAAAATACTGCTAAATGTCAGAAGATCGATGCCGCTCTCACGTATACGAAGTGCTGTATGTATGGAGGAGGACTGTTAGCGTAGCTTAGCATAAAGACTTAAAGCAGAGGAAAACAGCTAGCCTGACTTTGTTCATAAGTAAAAATCTGGGAGGATGCTGAATGCTGTCCATTACCTCCCCCTCAATCTCACAACCATCTGATAATCTTCTTGTTATTTGTACTACTGTCACTGATTGTACAGGGTTTGAGCCAAAACCTATTAGGTTGTACAGTTTAGTTTCATCCTAATCACTTTGACTTAGTTTTCTTATTCTTTTGATTCTATTTTTACTCTATTATTCTATTTTAGTTTCCTAAAAGGTATGGCATTCAATACTAGGTGAGAGAGAACCGGTATTTTGATTGTCTGTATGTCCTGTACATATAGTGAATTGACAATAAAAATCTTTGATCTTGATCTTTAAAACTAACCAACCAGTACCTCTTTAATTCTC